TATATATATATATATATGCAGATATTATAGGTATATATATTGATATATATATATATGAGAGATATATATATATATATGTATATTCTCTGAGGAATATATAAAAGCCAACATATATATATATATATATATATATATATATATATATATATATATATATATATATATATATAAATATATACAAATACAAGGTCACGGAGATCGAGATTAACAGGATGGGAGAATGAAGACCGTGACTAAACCACTAGTAATCTGAGCTCTGGGTCTCACGAGGCAAGGAATGGACAATTTTATTAACAGTGTCCCAGGTAACATCAACATAAAAGTTGCCCAGATGCCCACCCTGCTAGGAACATCGCATATACTAAGCAAAGTGCTTTCAAATAAATGACAATTCTCCTATAGGATATACGGACGATAGCACTACAGAGCAGGAAATATAACATACGCAAACACTACTAATACTACTACCACTACTACCACCACCAGCATTACTACTACTACTACTACTAATAATAATAATTATTATACATTCTTTTCCTCACCGATAGAACAACTCTGAGTTTCACGCACAAAGCAATCGTCAGGTACTGATTGAAAACTTGGACTGAGTTTAAAATACATTCATATATATATATATATATATATATATATATATATATATATATATATATATATATATATATATATACACACACACATATATATATATATATATATATATATATATATATATATATATATATATATATATATATATATATATATATATATATATATATATATATATATATATATATATATATATATATATATATATATATATATATATATATATATATATATATATATATATGTGTGTGTGTGTGTGTGTGTGTGCGTGCTGGAGGTATGTAAATACACACACACACACACACACACATACATATATATATATATATATATAAATATATATATATATATACAAAACACATGTGTCCGTGTGTGCATGTATGTGTTTTAAAGCATAAAGAGATGCATCCAAATGTAAAGTGCTATTCTTAAATAAAACAAAAATCATTAGATAACTGAGAGTCATATCGCCAAAGGTTCAGAACGTCTCTTTATTCAGGAAAGACCGCAAAAAGATAATGAACATTAAAGGAATATCTCTAATTGTCTCGGCAAATAATTACACAAAAATAGACGTTGAAAGCAATAATAATAAATGTCCACCTAATTATTAAATTTTCAACGAATGAAATCAAGATTCAAATGTGAAATAATTACACTAATATAATTGAAACAGCTCACTATTAAATCGTTGATAAATAAGATTATTACACAGATCATTTCCAAAGGAGCCTGACATTGGTGAACCACTTTCCAAGCTTCATTAGAGAATATTTGTTTTTTATTATATGAAAACATTATATTTGGGAATTATACAGGACCTGTGTCAATTGCTATGTTTGCTGCATGGAAGGTTGGTTCACTATGGCGTGCCAAAATATCTTTTTCGTCAGAATCCATCTTGCATTTACATTTATTTTGCCGGGGATTTTCTTCCTATCAAATATCCATTTGTCCAGGTATTGAATACTGTTGCCGTGTGTGACCTGGTCTTCCTAATAAGCATCTTGAGATTCTTGACAAACTCCAGATAAGGGTTTGCAATACGATCGGTTTTTGACTAGGCATCTTAACTGCAGTCACTTTCTCACCGACGTGACGTGGCTTTTTTCTGTTCTATAAGTATTTTCATGGAAAGTGCTCGGACGAGCTTTTTTTCCTGGGGCTCCGGCTACACGAATTTAAGCGTGTTACTAGATTGACAACTAGATCTCACAGTTTTAATGTTGAACTAGCTAAATGCAGCCGTCATTTCTTCTCTAACAGTTTTTTTCACGGACTTCCCACTTGTGGAACTCCATTACAATTCCTTGCTTCCTTAATAAATACAATCTTCAAAAAAAAATTAAATTCAACGTCAATCGACATCTTTTCGTTTTTTTTTTTAACCCTCTTCCTATTTTTTTTTTCTTCATTTCAACAATTCTGTCCATTTTCAATCTTCTCATTCTGATTCACATTAAATCGATGAAGCACCCTGTATCCTAGTGGCTTTATCTCCTTTCTTGGGGTGAAAAAAAAAAGACATTAAATCAGTTATGGTAAGGTATGCGTGCAAATTTATCGGAATGTAAGGTGAGGCATTTCGTGGCCAATATTAATCAGCTTCATGTTTATTGACTCATGTCCATTTGTTAACAAGTTGGACAATTAAAATAATATAAGGAATATACGAAATAAATCTAGCACACACTTATATATGAATACAATGGGCCCACTTCACCGTCGGCATATAGGTCGTAATGATCACCAGTAGATGTCTGAAAAGGCGCAGAGTAACGAAGATCAAATATAACATACATGTCTCCTATATAAATGTATTATGATTAACTTTAATTCGTAAATTAGGTATAATGAATTTAAAAAAATAAAAATAATCAACAAATTTAAT